TACGATAAAACAGTTACGAGTTCGCGTACTTGTGCTTTTAACTCTGGCATTGATTCCCCGCCCTCACCCCTTGCCAGGAAAAATCTCCTCTGCCTAAAAGGTGAGGAAGGCGTACTAAAGGACAGTCACCAATGAAATGTTATTTATATAAATGCCTTATATAAGTGGTTCTCAAACCGGCTGACTCAGTACTAATAGGTGCCGGATGTGTATGGCGCAGGTATCGGAGCATAATATTTAATTTCAATATGTAATATTTAGGATCGAAATTGTCAAATTGGAAACAAATATTCTACAGATTAATAATTACATATTTATACAAAACAGACAAAATTGAAATGATTCTAATTTAAGATAATGTCTTGGCCAAATTATATTTGGTTTATTTACATTGCACAAAAAATATGTAAGGTCTATACTAACGCTTTAATTATTATTGTGCTACAAATATGTTTTAGTCCTACAAGAGTGAAGTGGACATTTTATATCCGGACAAGGCAGCATAGTTTTTATATTATAACAAGAGTTTTATTAAAAGTTATTCTTATTGGTAATTAGATCCTATCCGATTAATAACTGCTTCCATTTAATTATCAATGAGAGGGTCGTAGACTTCTAGGCAGGAATACCATAAGTGCTGTATTCCTTTAATATACCTGAAAAAAAAAAAAAAAAAAAAAAAAAAAAAAAAAAAAAAAGATGATGCAATTTAGGAGATTAGATTGTATTTCCCTTTCATTAAATAGTTATCGGCTACACCGGTGTGCTTCATCTATTTTTACGATCCTTGATTTCATCGACAGGAAGATTTTTTTTATTAGGTACTGGTAGATTTTAGAATCATTTTTACTGTTTCAATTTTCATCAGACATGATTTTCTTTATTACTTTTTTCGCGGAGAATATTTAATTCATTTGTATTAAATATTTAATATACCTTTTGCATAATAGATAGGTGTTTATTTCTTCAGTTTTTCATCAATTGGAGACTTTTGTCCGGATTTTATTTTTAACGCAAATATAATAAATTAACCTCACATGTAAAAAATAATAAAACCAGATATCAGTTTTTATATTATTTTGTATGTAAACATTTTACTAAATTATAACTTAATATCAACAAATTTTATACAATTAATGAAATAAATATATCAATTCTTGTCGTTTACAAGCAATATTGTATTGTCGTATTGTATTGTATTGTATTGTATTGTATTGTATTGTACAAGTAATATTGTCGCAGAGGTACTTAGTGAGCGGCAAAATGAAGCTCTACGCCCTGATGATAAAGTTTGTCCGATATGCGGGCTTTCTTTTAAGGGCGAACGAGGTCTCGGAACCCACATTGCAAAAAAACATCCCAGGGAGGCGAATAATAATACATTGAGGGGCATAGTAAAGAACGTGATAGGTCCTAGAAATGGAGAGGGCGAGTCATCAAAAATAAAAGAGGACATTGTTGAATGGTCTACTACGTTCAAGAACCTTTTAAAGCAAGAAATGGTGAATACTGCGGATTTTGATGAGGCCGTAGGCAAGTTCCTAAAGTTCCTCAAAGTCATTAATGCGGAACTGCCAGGTCCCCAGCACCCAGCCGTAAAATTTTATAGGATGAGGAAAAAAAATAAAATGAAAATGGCTGACAAGGGTGCTGGACAAGTCTCAAATCCGCAGAGGGCAAACAAAGTAGACAGGAGTCGTCGGCAAGAGCAGTATCAGTACGAGGTTGCCCAATATAATTATTATAATAAAAGAAAAAAGGTTGTGCAAACTGTAATGAATGCCGACGCTCCTAAACGGTGTCCTCTAAAAATGGCCGATATCGAGAGGCATTATAAAGACCTCTTTGAGAACGAAAATCTCTGCGGGCGTGCGGATTACGAACAGTGTACCCCGATGCCGGATTTGCTGTCCATTGAGATAGAAGCCATCAGGAAAGCCATTAAATCAACATCAATGGACACATCGCCGGGGCCTGATGGAGTTCTGATCCGCACAATAAAATATTTTGAGGTATCAAGCATTATTAAAACGATTGCAGAGATAATGCTGAAGGTGGCCTATGTTCCGGAACCACTTCGACAAGGGCGCACAATATTGATATATAAGGGCAAAGGTGATATAAACAATATCTCTACCTGGAGACCGATCACCATATACTCGATTGTGCGCCGAATCATAGAGAAGGTTCTGGACTACGAGTTAAGAAAGCAGGTCACCTTCCACAAGAGTCAGAGAGGCTTTATAAAAGGCCTCCCGGGAACGCACGTCAACGCGAGGATCATCGACGCGGTATTAAAAGATGCACAAAAAATGAAAAATGACTGTGCGATAGTTTTCCTCGACGTTGTCGGTGCTTTTGACAATGTTGGGCACAAACACATCGTAAGCTCCTTAGAAGCGAGAGGTGTGTCACCGAATCTTACAAATGTCATATCAGCTCTCCTTAGCACGAACACCATAAAGATTGGCAACGGTGTCCATGCAACTAGCCAGATCAAAGTGCTGCGCGGTGTACCCCAAGGTGGCCCCCTGTCGTCTTCACTCTTCAACCTGGCCATCGATCATCTCTACCGCGACCTGTGTGACGAGGACTTTTCCAAGAAATTTGGATACAAATTAAGGAATGAGCAAGATTGTGTGGTCCTCACAGGTTTCGCGGATGACCAGGCAGTGTCGGCGCGTGACAAGGGGGCTGCAGAAAGAGTGATTGACAGCATACAAAGAACATTTAAAGAAATTGGTCTGGCTATAAATCCTCTAAAAAGTATGGGCATCGTTATAAATAAAGGAGAGCTGGAAACTACGGTGCTCTCCCTTGAGAATGGTGAGTACATCCAAACATTGAAGAATGGAGATACGATTAAGTATTTAGGATGTACATTCTCGGGAGAGCTGCAATTCAACGAAGATTCGGTGACTAAATTGAATGATAATCTAAACAAGCTGGTAACCTCTTGCTTACTTAAACCTGAGCAGAAACTCAACATTGTCAATCAATATCTGTTCCCGGGTCTTACTTACCCTCTCCAAACTGCGCCCCTAACAAAGCTACGTCCTGCTATACTGGAGGGCATCGACACTATGATTCGCAGGAGCGTAAAGGCCATTATTGGACTGCCTGCGAATACTTCCACAGCGATGTTGTATGCCCCCAGGAGATACCGAGGATTGGGATTAATCCGCTGCCAATGGGAGGCTCCTCTTCAACATTGGTCCATTGCTCAGCGACTGTCCAATGTACCAGATGCCCTTTTTCAGTCTACCTTCGATTATTCGGCTGAAATTGCTGAATGTGCCGAGAGATTGGGGGTTGATCAGGGTCATCGAAATGTGAAAGCTCTACGGCAGTCGCTACGAGAAAATGCATTTGAGGAATGGGCCAACTGCAGGTGGCAGGGTATTGGTGTTCGCCATTTTAAAGAGACCCCGAAAGCGAATAGATACATCTACGAAAAGCAAGTACTTTCTGGGTCTGAATGGTCGAATGCCCTAAAACTAAACATTAATTATGCACCCCTGCGTGGAGTCCCAGGAGTCAGCGGACAGGTCAGAGAAGTTGGGTCCCTCTGCCGTAAATGCGGCAGAGAGTCTGAAACACCAGCACATGTGCTGGGAAAATGCCCCAACAACTCCCTCCTCATAACACGTCGTCACCACCGGGTCAAGTTCGAATTGATGAGGCTCCTTAGGGAAAAAAAATTCACCTGCTTTGACGAGGTATATTGCATCGATAGTGAGGGCTCTACGAGATACGCTGATATCGTCGCATTTCCCAAGACAGGAAGGACAGCGCTGATCTTGGATCCAACTGTCCGCTTTGAGAGCAATGACCTCGATCAGGCGGGTGAAGTGGAAAGGGAAAAGAAGAACACGTACGATAAATGTATCCCTTTCCTAAAAGAGAAATTCCGTGAGACCTTCGGAGAGAGAGAGTTCACCGTGAGAGGCCTCTGGTTTGGGTCTCGCGGAACTATCCCAAAAAGAACAAGGAGCTTCCTCGAGGAACTAGGTGTCGACATTAAGGACGTAGCGAGGTTGGCTGAAAATATAGTCCTCGACTCCCTGGGAATCATTCACCACCACGTGCATGGCTAGCCCGAGAGTTTTAATTTATGTATTTGATTATTTATTTTTTTAGTGAATAATTGAAAACAATAGCGATAAAGAGAGAGAAGTGAGAGAAAGGGAAACTTAATGTTAAATAAAAAAAAAAAAAAAAAAAAAAAAAAAAGCATGAACAATGAGAAGAGGGAAAAAGGAAAAAAAAAAAAAAAAAAAAATTATAAGGATAAATAAAATAATAAAAATGTATATATATATATATTTCTGTTTTACTAATATTAACTAATACTTCTGTATATTTATATATAAGTTCATATATTGTCTTAAGGATAGAAGAGTATGCTGTGTGTATAGCAACCCAATGTAATTGGGCAGCAATCCTTTATATTTTATATTTTATGAAAATAAAGTGTTTCTCTCTCTTTCTCTCTAGTTTATGAGATAAATGTTTACTGTCCTAATAACCACCACACACTTATTTGAATTGGTATTAACCTGCTGATGGTTAGATTATTAACTATTGGTGTGTTTTAAGAGCATCTTGAATAATATTAACTAATATAAATGTTTGACATAAAACAATTTAAGTTCTAACTAATAAAAAAAAATACTGTATTTTTATTTTGTAAACGATATTTTATATTTATTTTTCAATATCGTTCATCACAAATTTAATTATTAAGAATTTAAAGTATTAGAAATAGTTATAACAAACATAAAATTACTCATTTTTATTATTAGAAATAATTGCACTATTTTTAATATTTACAATAATAAAGGATATTTGTTGAAAATAATCATCAAAATGAGCATAATATTCCAAAATTTAAATTAATTAAATAATGCAAATAATGTAATTAAATAAATTTGTAAATATATGTACATCATTGTATTTTTAAATGAGATTTATTTCATTTTCATTATTTCTTGTTTCAGATGATTACCATGAATGCCTCGTTCAGACTGTTGAAGCCCTTATCAAGACAATCAAATCTCCTTAAACGATATAACAAAACGATATTACGCACTATAAGTTGTTACACAAAAACATTCAACAATGTTTATAAAGTTCCATCGTTCGAACAAAAGAGGCTGTACAGCGATTGGAACCCCAATATCGTCAAATCACCTTACCCTGATGTTCCAGTACCAGACACCACACTGTCAGATTTTTTTTGGGAAAAAGCTGAAAAGTGGTCTGATCTAACAGCTGTTGTGAGTATACCAAATTTTTCTCAACAATTTCGAAAAATATTTGAAGTTTGAAGTATTATCTGTGTATTAGAACAATAAAAAACATATAAAATTGTATAGATAGACATTTTTGTATTTATGAAATTATTTTACATTAGCCTGTTTGTGTACTTAGCTCAAATTGAATTCAATACAATGCTTTATCATTGGAAAAACAATTTCATCTTATTAAATTGTCTAGAAAGCAATTTGAATCAGTCTTTAAACATTAGAAAAACACTATTTCAACTGGAAACCACTTCTACCCAAATCTAGCTTAAGTTTCTATAGTTTTAATAATAGATCAATAACAATTTTTTTGAGCAAGTCAATGTAATAATTATAATTTTGGTTTATTATTCTCGATAATTCAACATTTTCAATTGACTGATAAAAAAAAATTATCCTCGCCCTAAAAGTTTGAAGGGTAACGTTTAAAGATATATATAATTCGAGAAAATCGAATAATCACAATCCGTCCGTCATATTTTGAGAACATTTTATACTGAGTAAAAAAGTTCCTATAAACAAGGATTCACAAATCAAACCTTTTAAATTTGTTTTCCAGAAATGGTAAATACAAATAAAAAAAGCATTACCTATGGGAATGAATTTATTTGAATGAAGAAATCTATGGTAAAATGAACAAATATTCTATGTTTTCTTCTCATTCATCTTAATTGAATTGATCTTTCGACATAGAAACCAACTATAGTAAGAAAAACAGGAAATATGTGTATAGATTAACAATAAATAAGTATTAAACCTATCAGAAAATAAATATCTTAGGCCTTAGGAAGGCTCAATTTTTTTTTTTATTGTTGTCCAAGTCAATCTTAAAACTATAAAGCATTATCTTCTTTAATTATTTATGTTTTCAATTCAGCTAATGCCATACTTTGACTACATGCTACGTTTGAGGTATTCGTTTCTAGAATTATTAAAATTTCTAGAATTTATCTTATGTGCAAAAATAAAGAAATAAAAAAAATATATTTTCTACAATTTCTTTTCGGAAGAATAAAAAAAAAAAATTAATGCTCTTTGGCTATTTCTCCCTGTCCAAATGACTTCGTATGCTTATTTCAAAGCCCATCAACTACAATAAACAATAATTATTTTTTGGATGCTAAAAATTTTCCTTTTTAGGATTTTTCCACTTTTGCTTCATTATGGGCCGGTATTATTTGGTAATTTTTATAGAAGTTATTTCGGTAACTTTATAATTTACGGTAAAAGTATTTAATTAAAATTGAAAAAGAAACCATCGAAATCAGAGCAAGACTAGCAAATATATAGAGTGGTATTTGTTTCAATAATGAAGCTTCGATATCCACCAAGAAAAAAAAGTTCTTCTTAGGTCTGCAGCCCATGCAGGGCCTTTGTCAATAACGTCTCTCCAATCCTTCCTATCGGATAGAACCAGCTTCTCCTCTGTCCAATTCCCATCCATTGCAGATCTTCCTCCACATCATCGATCCAACGGAGGTTTACCTTCATCTTTTTCTTTCGCTTCCTGATTTTTCACATAATAGTTTTTCGGATATCTATTTTCTCACATTTTGTCTGCTTACCCAAGCCATCTTATTCGGCTTACATAATTGATTAAGTCCAGTTCATAATATAGTTTCCAAAATTCTCTATTACTCCTTATTTCCCATTGGCCACCTGCACATTCTGACCAAAATTTCTGTTAAAGGATCTTCCTTTCCCTGAGGAAGGAGGATCTTCTTGCACATATATGTCAGGACCCAAGTTCACCTTCGTAACACTTTTTATCTTAAGATCGTTTTATAAATAAGTAGCTTAGCTTTTCCTTCGTGACAGGTTACGAAAATGCAAGGTTGTTTGTGATGTGAAAAGACATCTGTTGCCTTCTGTGATTCTTGATTTTATTCCCACTGTAATTTTCCTCATTAGTAAAGCTCTAAGGTATTTGAAACTGACAACTTTTTTATATGTATGATGGAGCAGTTGCACGCGATCCTGTCCTTCCTGTCCCTCACTTTTTAAGAAGAAAATAAATGTTAATTTCCTGCAAAAATGAGGTTTTGTGTTTAGGAACAAGTAGAATATATATTTTTTTTTAATTATATACTTTCCGTCATCAACAACTAAGCACTAAATTTTAATACCCGAAAATCTTAATTTTTTGCAGATTTTAGCGTAAAACCGGCTGCAACAATTTTTATGAAACTTGCCTAATGAAACCTTTTTGAAGATTTAAGGATGCTATTTCGGGATCAGAGTTGGATGATAAGATTGCGGTGTCATCAGCGAATTTTGCAAGAAAAGTATCGGGATGAACAGAGATGTCAGCAGTAAAGAGGGTGTAAAGCACGGGACCCAAGACGCTGCCTTGGGGAACACGGAGTAGATACACTGCTTTAACGGAATAGATATTGGAAAATTCTGTTCCACAGCGAACTAGAAAGGAGCGGTCAGAGAGGTAGGATTGGAGGACTAGGTACAAGGACTGAGGTAAATGGATTTTAAGCTTGAAGAGCAATCCGGCGCGCCATACCCGGTCAAATGCCTATGCAATGTCCAGAAATGCACCCGAACAGTATTCCTTGTTTTCTAGGGCTGAGGAAATATGATCAACAACTCGGAGTCCTTGTTGAACAGTAGAATGTTGAGAGCGAAAACCAAACTGATGGGAAGGAATTTATTGTACATGTAGATCGTTTTTAAAAATTCTATAAATCTTGAAATCGTGTTTGGGTCCTTCCTTAATATTTGTTCTGGGTTTAAAGAAAATCTTTGTGAATCATGAGCCATAGACCCAAAGTAGGAACATGTCGGTGGTTCTTTGCTCATGGATGATTCGACGATGGCCAATTCTGAGGCGGATAAATCTCTTATCTCTCTATCAGCTTTAGATTTTTCTCAAGAAGTCTTACTAATTGTTCTAACATCCTTACTGTATTTTCCTTCATGTTGAATCATTCATTTTGTCACTCCAGCCATTCGTTTTCGTTGGTAAAATATATTAAATCGTTGTGATCAGTTGTTAAAAACGCTTGGTTACTTTTTGTCGCTAGTCATAATCGTATATTTTAATGCAAAGCTTATCGAAGTATTTATTATTTCTTACTTTAATACATTTAAATTATGAACTAACAGGATCTGTCATATAATTTGTGGTTAGTTAACTAATAGTACAGTGAGTAAAAAAAAAACAGTTTAAGTAGAAAGCCATTACAAGTCAATGTTCGTCATAATTTAATCTTTTATTTACTTTCCTACCTATAAAGTATTGCGATCGGGCCAAATTTCAGATGAGCAGTTTTCGACAGACCTATACGTTACAGAGCACCTGGAGTTCGAAAAACGCGTTTTCAGCCATTGGGTTGTCAGTCTGTTAGTATCATTAGAGTGTATTGAATTTCTTACGCTGATCTGTCACAAGCCGGTTTACATTGCTTTAGTTTATCAAATAAATTGTACTAAAATCTTTTCTTTGATCAATTTTCAGGGTAATAAATCTAATTCAATTTTTTTTATTTTGTTTTTTAATGGACATATTTAAAGATAGAAAGACTTTTCTGAAATCGTTAGGAAAGTCGTGTGAGTGGACACACAACATGTTTTCATATAAACCTCCAAGAAGACCTATAAAATAAAACTAGAATATATTTTTTAGTATATTTAGGAATCACCTTTACCTTGTAAACACTTATATTTCTTTTTCATTCAGTCTATCAAATCATACGTTTTCGTCATTAATAGTTTAATATTTAATTCTGGTATGTTATTTGAAGACAAAAGTTAAAAAATTTCAAAATTATATAATTGTGAACTATTTACCAACGTTAACGTAATGTAAGCTTAGTCTTCCCAACAGTTACTATCTGGTTAGAGATAAGACTGTTTATACCCGCCAGTACCTCCTCTCTCTCGTATCTCCTGTTATCAGTTTAACAACGTTTAGTTCATTTCATCTCTAGCCATATCAATTAGTAAAAATATAATTGTACTGTGGCCAGTTTTAAAACGGCTATCACAAGAAATAGCATGCTAGATCTATACTTGTAAAATTATGTACCATAATAAGTGTTTTACCGAAGTCAAACAATTAAAAAAGAAACAGTGGAACTGTAATTTTTACGATATTGGTTCAAATTTAAAAAAAAAAAGTATAAATTTAATGTTCATTGTCTATTTCTCCCCGTCTAAATGACTTTGTATGTTTAAGTTTAATTTGAAACATGGACAAATTTTCATATTTTAAATATAATAATTACATTTTTTTTAAATCATTTATATATTGTATTTTGTAATAAAGCAATTCCTGGGGGTAGGAAAAAAAATTTAAACCACATAATTTTTCCTTCTTAAATTCTTTTTCCCAACACTGAAAAGTTAAAGTCCATTAAATAAAATCCGTGTTCTCCCCGTGGTCTCACTTCAAAGCTACCTATGCACTCTCCAATCTATTAAAACCACTCGAAAGACTGGTTCACTCACAGTCTAATTAAATTCCTTGAGCAAAGAGCTCTCCATAATATTCCAGAACGGTTTCGAATCCCAATATTCCACTTTGTGCAAGACCTTTTATGCTCTCTAATCAAACAGAAAATTACTATCCTGGTGATGTTCAATTCAATTTACATAAGATCCTACTTTTTAAACTACAAAACTTCTCCTGATCATATATACTTTTAGCTTGGTTTCATTACTTCTAGTCCTATCGATCTCTAACAACTACGACTCCTAATAAACCTTTTTTGACATCGGAAATTTGGTGAGAGAAACATAAACCAAAACCAAACCAAATATTACCCATAGATCACATAAGTGTATTTTTGGGCTTGTTCGAATTTGAATTTGAAGTGGACTGTATATGGATTGGATCATTCACCCAACTTAAAAATTTGTGAAACAAAAAAAAATTAGATATATTGAAAATAAGGAATACAAAAAAAAAAATAATAATAAAGATTTGTGGACTTTGACAAATGTTTAAATAAACATAATTATGAACAAAATAAACATTATAGAAAAAATACAATTTTGGTCTTATGGACTGTTTAGTTGATGCCCTCATTGCATGCCCTCATTGTCCTCGTTCATTACTTCAAACCAAAATTAGGGCGTGAATTGTATTTAAATCTCGTAGAGCCACTTGGTGCTGTGGATGATTATGCTGTTACTGTCCTCTAATCTCCCCATCCTTCCTCCAACAGGTTGATTGACTTGTTATTTAAAACATCATGTTTGGTTCACAGTCTATGACGAAAATGTGCCACAACCTTTTTGTCGCTTGACTGTGAAAGAATGAGAGAAATATGGAAGCCAGTTAAAACATATGTTTTGTTTTTTGTGGTTCAGAGTTAGATTCCTCAACAAACCTCCTTCCTCCAATCTTCAGCTGCCAGGTGGTGTTCTCACATCGAAAAAATGCGGAAATGTTTTTTAACTAATACTCAAATAAGTTTACATTTTGTCAGTAAATTACATTTAATTTTCTTGAAAACGTGTGAATTACGTTAAATATTATTAGTTTTAAAAAATGATTATTTATAATTTTTTTGCTACTTTCCGTTACCTTCTACAACTTTCTATATTGGATATAATTTTTTTTTTTTTAATTCTCCTTTTTCCAACGATATATTTTACGTAAACCTTCTGACTAGAATTTCCGGAGGTTCATTTTCGACCTGGATAAGCATTTTATTTTTTTCTCCTTTATTCAATTTTCAAATTCTTTCAAAAGTTATATTTAGCTTTTTTTTCGTAACTCTTATTGATGAGGGATAGTTAATTATTTAAAATAAACCATATTAAAGATATTTGAGAAGAAGACGTATATGGACATTGGGCATTTAAGCTCTTTAAAGTGACATAATCGGGGATAAGACCTAAATGATATTAAAGACCACTTAATTATACAATGATACACCGAGTTTAATCAAAATCGTTATAGCCTATTGTAAATCGTATAACATTTTGATATTATTGATACTAACAAATTGAAAAATAAATTTCACATCAAGACCTCTATTTATGGGTGCCCAGAAGGAAGTTTCATGGCGCAAGTTGCGTTGTCAACATTTTTAAGGGGGCATATTTTGATGGATCTTGGGATTGTTGAAGGGGGTAAACTTTAAAGGCGTTATGAATGAAAAGTTTGAGACTAAGAGACAAAAGGAAAACATGGAACAGACCGTAGCAAACGTAATTGTATATGATCTACGAGTTTTCTAATTCTACCTTCGTTTGCTCTATTTTTGAGAATAGCTGAGCAATAAAATATCTTGTTGGGGGAGGGAAAGGGAGTAGATTCTTGCGCCATCGATCTTGGGGGGGAGAGGGAGGAGAGAGGAGGAATGGGCACTTCTATCTCTATTCATTTAGGAAAATAAGAGTTAATTTCATTCTTTGATTATTACAGGGAAAACAAATAAAAGAGAAAAAAATTAATAAACAGCTTTACATGTGTTCGCATACGAATATAATTAGGTATAATATATTATACCTATATCGTAATATATTGATAACGTTATATCGTATAATATACGAATATAATGTTATCAATATACAGAGTTGTTTATATTATTTAAGACCGTGATTACTATTTTTAATAATTGTTTATAATTAAAATGTATTTTTCTGTATTTCATCATAGGTATGTGGAGTGACAGGAAGAGAAATTAAATACAAAGAGTTGCGGCTTTTATGCAAACGATTAGCAACCAGTTTATTGAAAGAGGGAATCAAGCCTGGAGATGTGGTTGCAATGATACTGCCAAATATGCCTGAATTCCCTGTGATCGCTTTAGGCTTGCTTGAAGCAGGAGTTGTTGTTACAACAATAAATCCATTATACACAGCTGGTAAGTTTTCTTGCATATATAAGAAGAAATAATAAATACGGACTTAGGTGGTAGGGGAGGGAAGGAGGATGGCAATCGCCCCTCCCCCCATCTCCCTCCCAATCCCAATAAAAAAAGAGAGGGGAAGAGAATATCGCTCTCCTCCCCCGATTATTTAGAAACAAAGAACAAAATCAATAACAATTATTGTACATGAATGAATAAAATATTTAACCTAAAATCATGTAATTTGTTCATTACAAAGAAATTTGCAGATTGTAAATTTAACCTAAAGTTCTACATTTTTGTTAATAAATAAAAATCTTATTATTAAAAGTCTAGTTTATATTCAAAAATGTAATTTATGATTCATTCGTATGGACTTTTCCATTTTTACGTGAAGATTTCAGCACATTTCCGGCTGCAAATTTGAAACATCGGAGAATAAAGAGTTCATGTCTCTGCCTCAAACCTTTAAATACAAATAAAATATGTAATATATTTAATTGTTTTATAAACATATTTGCAAATATATATATTTACAAATATGTTTTTATACATGGTATCATTTTACAATAATTGTGTTGATTATTGTTATGTTGATTGTTGTGAATTAACTATCACTCATCATTTTTTGGGGTCCTTCGCCCTCCTCTTCCCCTATTGAATTTAAATAAAGTTTTCATCTTCTCATTTAAAATTGTTGGAATAAAAGGAACGGTGTGAAGTTTCCTTTTTTTGTTTTGACAATCTATTCCATGTTTGATTAAATGGTGGATGATTTGCATACCATCTCATGTTAAAGGATCATAAAATAATTAAGAAGAAATACTGTGGGTTTCAAAATTTTACATAGATTTTCAATTCGTCAATTACGCCTTGCTTTTATGGTACCCAAAAAAGCTTTGGTATTGCGAGACGCTGCTTAAAACAATAAATAAATAAAACTAAAATCATTTAAAGTCATACTTTATCCAGCAGTTTTTCTTTCAAGTCTGTGTGCGAAGAGGCATCCGATGCAATGTAGCTTGAACCGGCACTTAAACGGTCAAGATGTTAACGCACATTCCCAGCATATATTTCCTATATTTCCGGTTAATTATTTTTAATTCAATGAATAATTGTTTAAAAAGCTTATAGTCCATTTCTTAAAAGAAAATGTTTTCTATATATGAGGTTTGTAATAAAATCCTAAAATATTCCTTTGTCTCTTCTAGAGAATTATTGGTTTAAAAGATTCACCAACTGAACAATGTAGTTTTTCTGTTTTAATCCAAGAAGTTTTTGATAACTCAAATTGCTTTTATACGACAATACATTACAGATTCTATACAACAAAGTTTCATCTATTCAATGTGCTATATGAAATTTTGTCTCCTATACCTTCCATATTTCATTCTTAACCTAAGATAAATTAATTACTACGATAATATTTAAAAAAAGAATATTTTACAAATAGTAATAATTTTTAAAGAAATAAAGCAATTTGTAACTGACAAAAAAAATTGTATCTTCTTGTCTAGATAATATTGACGACTATAAAAAAAATATATGTTTGCAAATAATTTTTAGGCAGGTAGGGTATGCGCACTAATGATGAACATAGTTAAAGAAATTTTTCAAAAAATATCGTTGATTGTTATTAAGTCCTGAGTGTATGTGGCTTTAGTGTTCTCACTCTGCCTCCACTGTCTTTCAAACAGTGATGTGACTGTGAGAGAAACGCTGATATCTCTTTGAGCTCTGCTTTGCCTCTCACATGAGAGCGACAAAGCGCGGTTCAGGATTCTCCAGGCTGAATGTAAATATTCTATATTTTTTCTTTTTATTATCCTTTTAATGTTTTTTTTTTCTTTTTCTTTTTACAAGTATCTTATATTATTGTTATTATTTTATTGTATATATTTTTTTACTTTGATGTTTTCTTCTTATTTCTTTTTTCTCAATCTGTATACAGTAGTATGAATGTAGACATAGAGTCTTAATTACCAATGCCCTTGATTGAGGCAGATTTTATTATTATTCTTCCAATAAAAACATTATAGTAAAAAAAAAAGAAAAAAAAGATTGCTATTCATTAACTAATAAAGTAATCATTTTATAACTTTGTATTTCAGATGAAATAGTTTATCAAATAAAAAATTCAAAAGCTGTTGGAATCTTTACCATTCCTGAAAAGTTGGATACAGTTCTTGAAGCTAAATCGATTTTGGAACAAGAAGATCCGGCCAATCCTAAGAAATTAAGAATAATTTCTACGAATCATGTTCTGGGAGATGAACCAGAATTACCTAAAGGAGTGGACAGGCTCACTCGATTAATAGATGATAATGTCGATATAAGCGAACTTCCATCTCTTCAGACCAAATGCCAAACGACTCATGATGTGGCCGTTATTCCATACTCCAGTGGTACCACGGGCAGGCCAAAAGGAGTGTGTCTGACCCATAGAAATCTAATCTCTGGAATAATATCTATGCACATATTGGGAGATGTTGAAGACGCAACAAGTAAGATTTCTTTAAGTATTTATGAACAATTATTTAGTTATGAAGATTGTAATAGTAAACAAAACACTACGACTATTTTTAATACTATTAAGACTAAAAACAAATTTTGTTTGTATTCTAACGTTTTTTTCCCTATCACGTAATAGGGAGGGAGGCAAAGATATGAAATGATGAACGCTTCATTTGTCACAGAATATCGTTTTCGCTCTGCCAATTAAATGAGCTTTAATTTTTATTTTGTCATAAAACTTTTAGCAAACAATTTAACAAGATCACTTAAACACATATTTTCTATTTTCTAATTAGTTAGTGATGGACATAAAATATTTCCTTGAAAAAATAAAATAATGAAAGAAAAACAAAATGTAATTATTGGGTCTTCAAAAATGGTTTATTATGATAACTGTTCAATTTTAGAAGAAAAAGAAGAAAGAGTCGCAAACTATAGGAAACACCAATATTTAAACGGTTTTTTTTTTTTTTTTATCATGCTAGTGTTTTCGTTTCTAGTTTTTTGTTTTCCATCTTCTGTCAGTAGCAGTCTAGCCTGTTCGGGCTTAGTGAAGAGATCGTGTCTCTACCTCAATTAGTTTTATTAACTTCTGAGACTTGTTGATTTTTAAGTTACAAAAATATCTATTTAGTATACTGGAGTATCAGTTTCCAAATCTTAACTTTGACGAGAAGGCAGCCATTGGAGGACCGACCAGAGCTGATGCGGTGGAGGGGATCGCCATTGACAAGAACTCTGAAGATAAACAATCGCTAATACCACATGCTGATTTGCAAAGCTGCAGGATTTCGATGACCACCAGTGAAACAGTCTGCATTCTGATATGTTAAGTAAACATATCTTCATTCTCTGTTGTGACCACTAGCGGATCCAGGATCTAATTTTGGAGGGGGGTTCAGCCCGAAAGCTATTTTTTTCATAAAAATAACGATAATTACTTTGGAAAAAAAGAAAGAAACTAACTACCTGTATGAAATGGTGTTTAAGTGATTCCTAAAGCCCTTTTAAATGTAATTACACAAACAATAATACTTTAAGAGATACTTTTTTAATATTTTTTTCGATAAATAGTGGCTATATTTTACCATTTTGGGGGGAGGAGGGGCTTCAGCTCGAAAGCCTCCCCTCCCCCGTAGATCCGCCCGTGGTTGTGACGGCAAATGATAATGGTTGACAAAGAAAATTTGTGATCTACTGTTGACTTATTTATCATTAAGCAATGTCAATAGTATCTGGAAATTCTTTTTACCCTTGACGCTTGCCTCTTAATTATAGCAATGCGAGGAACACCTATATATGGAAACATTGTTTTTTTCAAAAAAGCTGAACATCTCTAAGTGGTGGTACTGTCACTTTGCAAACAACTGTGGATATGAAGGTGTCGATTTTGATATCAAATCTTTCAATTCAACCTATACCTCTTTTTAAAAATAGATTATATATCTGTCAAGTTTCCTTCTTCTGAGATAGTTTCCTGTACCCAGATCAGATAATTAAGGGAGTGGGGTAGCTCAGTGATAGGGCACTGAGCTTCCAATGCTAAAGGTCTCCTGTTAGAATCCCGGCTCATGGCAGAAAAATTATTTATTCTGTTTTATTAGCCGTGGGGTGACCCTGGGTAGGTAGACCCTCCTGGGGCACACACAACCTCTATAAAGTGGGTACCCTTAATTAAAACAATTAGTTAACGGGAAAAAAACCTGGGGGTTGAGCGTGATCTCGGTCAAATTACCTCCTCGCACAACCGTATACCAAGAAACGGTGCTTTCCCTAAACAGTACTGAACCCAAGACCCTTCATGGGTTGTAGTGGTGCAGGTTTTTTATTTATTTATTTTTTCCTGGGGCACACCCAGCCTCTATAAAGCGGGTACCCTTGATCAAAACAATTGGTTATGGGGAAAAACTTGGCGGTTGAGCGTGATCTCGGTCAAATCTCCTCCTTGCACCTCCAGTGGTGCAGGTTTTTTTATTATTTTTTTTTTTTTAGATCAGATAATTGATGTCATACAGATGATTTATTAGTTCTTCTGCTCTATTCTTTTCAAGTTTAGATGGTATTTCATGCATCTGGAGATTTATTACTTTAATGTCATAATTATGGGCATTTTTTCTGTTTTTTCCTTCTCCGACGTTATTCCCTCTTACTCCCTTTATTTACTCCCATTCACATCTTTATAATTATTCTTTAATATTCTCTTCCATAGTTTCTTTGTTTAATGCCTCGAAATAATATACCTTCCAGCTATTCAATTCTTCTTTACTTGATTCCAGCAAATATGTAATTTAAAACCGGTCCCTGCATTTCATATCTCATTATAAAACTTCCTCCTTTATTTTGCTGCATTCTGTCATTTCATACCTCCTTTTATTTTTCTCTTCGATACTCTTTTTTTCTTTCGTCATATTACTTTGAATCTTTTCCGTTTTATTATAAAATTTTCATTTATTACTCTTGTTGTCCTCACCAATTTTCGTAAACATTATTCATCAAATCATTTGTTTCTTTTAAATTGGTTTATATTTTCCTTCATCGTTCTTCACAGTTTCTTCTACATTGCGCTCTTTGTCTAATGATTTATTGATGCTGGATTCAATCCATCGATGAAATTAGCGATAATATAATAAAATAAGTGATTATTTTCCAAAGTTATAAGAAAGCTATTTACATTGACGAACTAATCTCAAGAGGAATATTAAGCTATTTATTTATTCAATTACACATTTTTATTTGATAATCATTCCTCAAGATTTAAACATAAAAACAAAATATTCCGTATATTTATTTTAATATTTGATCCAATTTTTATTTAATTAATGACACTATGCTCACTATTGATTTTCTTTATGGTTCAATTTTATTTCAGGTGGTCGTCAAGAAGTGGTACCTGCCATACTCCCTTGTTTCCATATTTATGGCTTAAGTGTTGTTCTTTTACAAAGCCTTTATTGTGGAGGGAAGGTTGTAACGTTACCAAAGTTTGATGAAAACTTATTTTTGAATGTGATGAAGAAGTACAAGGTATGATTCATTCACGAAATTTATTAATTACCCATTTCCCCTCTTTCTTATAAATATGTAAACATTAAGAACAAAATACCTCTGGAATAAGAAGAATTTTAACACCTTAGGGTGCGAAGTCTAATTACAAAATAATTGGGTGTATCTATATTTTATTATTATTCCTATTAACATAATTTATTTTTACATTCAAGTCATAACTGAGAGGCCGTGAGGGGTAAGCAGTTGCGGCGTTGCTCGCCTTAACATACTCGAGTCTAGCGGTACTGGTTCATATCCGGTATGGGCGGGTTGAAATTAATTTTGCAGCAGATCTACAGAATGAATTTCAGTCTTCGACTGGTGTCCAAGAATGGGTTTGGTTATATCTCTAGAACAACGGCAGATATGGTGAGGTAGACAGTATGCAAAAAATAGTATCTGAAAAAATCGAAATAATGACTAATGATAAGGGAATAAAAGAAAAAATCGAGACTAGAATAAAAAATAATAATAAAAGGCTTAGCGAACCCGAAGGTTCGATGCCGACACCACCAATCGCTGTCTATATACCTATTCACCGGTTGCCTTCCAAACCCACTCCCTTCAGATCGCAATCTTCCCACATTCGCTTCGGTCTAATTCTCAGACGTTAACCAGTCGGCAAAGCAAATATAAAAATCGAGACTAAATATGGAAAATTCAAGTTGGAGAAATAGCTCAAATACCTTGTGGAAATCATGAACTACAATAGGAGGAAACATGCAAGCAACACAGAGTTGAAAATAAAATTGGATAAATTAAGTTTTTATGAAGGAGTTTATGCAATAAAAAGAATCTTTCCAGGAAAGCCAAAATTATACATTATGAACAGTCATAAAACCGATGTTACTCCATGGGGCGGAGACTATGGGATTTACCAACATGGAAATTACTCAGAACAGAAAGAATGATTCTGAGAATAATACACGGGCCGAGAAAGATGGGTGAAGAATACCGATTAAAGAAGGACGATGTGATTTAGGAACAGATTGTAAACTTGGAATCATCGATGACAAAAAGGAGATTAAGATTCATAGGCCATATGAAGAGAATGGATCGGAATAGGCTAAACAAACAAATATTCTTTAAAGTAATGGGACTAAATAACATAAAAAATTATCTGGAACACATCAAAGAAGAAGTGAAAAAAATGGGTATCAGAGAGGAGGACTTTCATAGAGACAAATGAGGGAAAATAGTGAAAATATAAAAGGTTCTTGTAGCGGATATGGAGATGCAAGAAAGTAAGAAATGGTCAGACCAAAGAAGGAAGGAAATGGGAGGTAAAATGAAAAGAATATGTGCAGGAAATAAGTAGAAAAAATTATAGAAATAATATATGCGTGGTCTATCGTTGGCCATTATCACGATAAATAATATGTATATACTTAACTAAACGAAAACATTATTGATTGATAAAGTGAAGTTAAGATCATAAAATAATTACGATTTTGCGTTTAGGTCCGGGGGTTTTAATTCTGTTGTTCATTCCGTGCCCTCTCTCCTGTCCTGAGAAAACCCCGTATAGTCTAAAACGCGAAGAAAGGATGAATACAAAAAAATGTATTGTTTTTTAAAACCCTTTTTTTAGAATTCTCAAATACATAATTCACCTACGTTATTGTTTTAGTAAAACAAGGTTTCTAGTTAAGTTTACATTTTTAAGATCCTTGGTCACAATACGTATCCTCCCCAGACTCTACTTAATAAAGAGGATCCACAATACGGGCTATATATACATATATATATATATATATATATATATATATATATATATATATATATATATATATATATATATATATATATATTTAATCGTAAAACTTTGTAATAATAATGTTATTTTTGCATTAAATTTTGTATCAGTATTACTAAGAAATAACACTAATTGTATTTTTTTGTATTTATTTTAAGAGTACAGTTTTGTACGTAGCACCACCTCTCGTTCTTTACCTTGGTTCAAGCCCTAATGTGACAGATGAGCACCTTAGTTCAGTTAAAATTATTTTGTGTGGTGCAGCTCCAGTAGCAGAATCTGATATCATGAAATGTGTAAAAAAATCACCTCCTACTGTATTTTACAAGCAAGGTAATAATTTAATTCCTTTTATTTTTTATTTAAACTGAGCTAAATGATTGCTTAAAATTATCGCTGTTTAGCTTTGATTGTTGGATAACTAAAAAAAAAAAAATGTTTCTTAATCAGCAAATAACAGGTAACATTATACCACTTTTTGTGAATCATCGAGTTAAGGTTTGTGCTGCCACAACTGCTCCTCGCTGGCCACCTAGAGAAAGCGATGATGTGACATTCTCCATGGTGAAAGTTTACCATCTTTGGTATACGTACGACATAAAATTAAAATAAAATAACATTTTTTTACTTTCCTGTCACTGTGTAAGGAAGGTATTGTAATCGTGTTTTGATGTAATGATATCTTCAAATTTCAACGGATGCTTCAAAGCTCCATCCTGAAATGTTTTCTCTCATCGGTTAGTCCATCTGTACCACGATTATCTTGTGAACTAGTAGACATTGCTTCGTTTTTTTGTAGGATTTCGGTCACTGTGAAAAGAATAAGGCCAATAGGGACTGCGCAAAAAGAGAAACATCCGTATTTGCATAGATTATAGAGTCGGAAGAGCACTAACGATTTCAACTAAACTTACCTAAAGTCTTCTACTAATATCCCTTTTAATTTTAATATATGTAGTACAATTTCGAATAGCAAACAACATAAAGGAAAAACGTAAATTCCTTTTAGGCATAACTCTAACACTACACGTTTTATAATAAATTTTATAAGTAACATTTTGAATGTTTTTATATTTCCGAATTCCGAAATATTCTGGTCGAACCGCGCGACAATTAACGAACGGCTCTCCATTAGTCTGTCTGCCGAAAATTAGGAAGTTGAAGCGTGACGTATAAACATAGCACAGTTAACTTAATGAAAGAGTTAGAGTTAGGTTAGGGGTGACCAGAAGGGGGTTTCATGGCGCAAGCTACGCCATAAAAATTTTTGAACATATTTTGACGGGTTCTTGAATTTTTGAGGTGGCAAATTTCGACATGGTTATGAATTTTCGGAAAGTAAAGTTTCATACTATGGGACAACAGAAAAACCTAGAACAGACCGCATCAAGTGTAATTGTATACGTTCTACGATTTTTCTAGTTCTACCTTCCCTTGCTCAGTTTTTAAGAAAAATTTAGCAATAAAATATCTTGGAAGTGGGGAGAGGGTAGGTTCTTGCTCCATCGACCTTGAGAGGAGTGGGCACCCCTAAGTTAGGCTATTTCTAGAAACTGAAAGGAAAACAAAGTAATTACTTAATGCTATGCAGGAAAGGTATCAACGATAATTACTTTACTTTACGATAATTTTTTTTTTAGACAACAATAATTACTGTGGAATAAAAAGAAAAAAATTGCCCACATGAAATGATGTTTTAAGTGGTTCCAGAAGGAAAAAAAAAGTACATGCCATGAACAATAATGCTAATAGAGATAAATTTCTTATATATATATTACTTTATTCTTCCCAACATTTACTAGCTGTATTTGCATTACAATTCAAAAAGGGAATGTTTTGTGATTGTTTAATTATTTAAACATAAAAAACTTGGAAAATTAATATTCCAAAGACAACTATTTAAAGAAAAGGGAAATATAGGAAAAATTCATCCTCTAATATGAATGATCTAATGCAATATAAAAACAATTATTATCGTGACCAGCACTAGGGGATCCAGCCCTGGTTAGGGGTTCTGTTCCAAAAAATGTTCCAAGCAGATATTTAAAGAAAAGAGAAATACAGCAAAAATTCATCCTGATAGACGATTTTTCTAATGTAATATATATTACTATTTCAAGAAAAGAAAAATATAGCAAACAAAAACTCCTCTAAGACGAATTTTCTAATATAATCATCATCATCATCCCGAACTCGACAATCCATTGCTGGATCATGACTGCTTCAAGAGTTTTCCTCGATGTTTCCCTGTCCTGAACAGCCATTTTTGTTATATTTTTCTTTTCTTTAAATAGTAGTTTTTTTTAAAATTATTTTTCTACCAACCAGAGGGGGCGCAGAAATCACTAGTGCTGATCACGATATATATATATATATATATATATATATATATATATTAATATTACATTAGAAAAATCGTCTATCAGGATGAATTTTTGCTATATTTCTTAAATAGCTGCTTGGAACATTTTTTGGAACAGAACCCCTAACCAGGGCTGTATCTGCTAGTACTGGTCACGATAATAATTAATTTTATATTACATTAGATCATTCATATTAGAGGATGATTTTTTCCTATATTTCCCTTTTCTTTAAATAGCTGTCTTTAGAACTTTTTTTTCAGAATTAATTTTCCACCGTCCAAGGGCAAGACTTTTCGTTCTTGAACTAGACTGTTCATATACATACATGCACACAGACCATTTTGAGTGGCTTGGTTATTTGGACTCTGGAGACCTCAAAACACGTATTTCCGTTCAAAACTCAGATTTGAAAATTTTCACAATCGCAATACTGTCCCTTACTTCATATTTCATCTATAGGTAAATGAAAATAAAAAAAGTAATTGTGCTAGTAGGTTTGTTTATTTCAACACCGAAATTGGTCCATTCACTCTGGAGATAATCATTGAGGGACAGACATGCAGACAGCTTAAACAATGCGTTTTTCAGGCTCAAAGGGAAAAGGAACTTTAAAAAATTGAACGGAAACCCCATCTCTCTGTAAATCTGTTACTGTCTTTTAGTATTAAGTAATTAGGACATATTGAAAAATTTATGAATTGGAAATATTATTTTATCACAGGTTATGGTTTGACTGAAACATCTCCTGGGATATGTGCCATGGAAAAAGGTATAAAGAAATACAATTCTGTTGGAATTGTAGCTGTTAATACATTAGTAAAAGTAGCTGATCTTCAAACCAATCAAGCTTTAGGAGCAAATGAAGAGGGAGAAATTTGTGTTAAAGGACCACAGGTAAATATTATTTTTTTTTTTATGAAATAAAAGAAAATTAAATACAAGAATTGTGATTTATTATTGTTTGTCTTTAATCCATCTTACTACTAAATTAATAAGTCAATTTTAGTAAAATTTTAGAGTTGTTAAATGTATACTTTATGAAGAACCAAAAGAGTTTTGAGACAAACAATTATGGTAATCAAAGTAGAGTCAGTAGTCCACCAATAATTTTACTATATCAAAATATTAAGTCTATAATTTTTTTATGTCAATAACCCTCATGTGAAATCATTTTGGAAGATTAAATTTAAATTAAAAAATATTTGTATGAAATAGTTTCACTCAAGGTGGTGATAATTTTTATTATAATTCAGAATGAATCTTTTAAATAGTAACCTTTGAAGTTTTATACAAAAATTGGTCCAACAAATTTTCAATTTCCCCAAACTTCTGAATGAGCATTATTTTTCTAGGTGCCATTATACAGGGTGCTTCAGGGTTAAGTGGCCAAAATGCAAATATGAACTAAAGACCTCAAAACAAGAAAACAATTTCCTCTGAAGGTATATCTTACAAAGCATATATTACAGGTATATATACAAAGCAAATGCTTTGTTTAGGAAATATTCACACCTAAAGATTTTCATTGCTATGAATTATTGACGGTATATAAAATAAATAAAACCTGTTTACTTGTTCTAACTACTTTTTTAATTAAATGTCAACCTTAATATTCATATTGTTCAAAGTGATTTGCTAGAGCATTAAGACAGGCATCTTTCTTCAACAGCATCAGTGACAGAATGGCACTGGATATGTATTATTGTTCTACAAGATTCAATTATCCTTCTTCGTATGGAAATAAGGTCATTGACCAGACTTGCATATACTTTTGTTTAATGTCATCCCAAACAAAAAAATCCAGTGGTGACATTAACAAAAAAATCCCAAACAAAATCATGTCTGGAGAGCGTGCAAGCCAAGCCATTGATCCTGCACGGTCAATCCATTGATTGTAATATGGGATATGGAATATAAAATGTAAATAATTCAAAACAATGAAAATCTTTAGGTGTAAATATCTTCTCAACAAAGCATTTGCAGACATACCTTCAGAGGAAATTTTTTCTTGTTTTGAGGTCCTTTGTTCATTTTTGCAGCTTTGCCACTGAACCCTGAAACACCCAGTATATATCTTAAAAATTAACTAAGAAAAATATAAAATATTTTACTAATGATTTTGACATTATAATTTTTCCAAATTGATCTGTTAATTTTTAAATGTAATTAATTCGTACATGAGAAAATGTGTTATAACCAGGGAAGCCTGGCTAAATTAAATGGTTTAAAATGTCTTTAGAATTGCAGGTCCATATTGGGTTACTTTAAGGCCCCTTATGATTGGTGACTACTGTTAAGAATTTTATTTACTGGCATACTTTCAATATTACTGAAAAATTTGTGCCACCCTATCATGCAATGAAGATTTATACACTTTGGTTGTCTTCCAATTATGTGTGGGTATGTAATTCTTCCTCCAGTCATCCATAAACTTTTAGTCATTCGCCTGAAAAAATAAGGTTTCTATATTAAAATTAGGATGGATTTCACCTCCGAGAGTATCTTAACTGATTTGGCCATTCAGTTAATTCACTTAGTTCACTGAATTCAAATTCAGAAGTTTTCATAACTTATATGTTAAATATTAAAGTTCCTTACCTAGATCATGGTGCACTCCATTTTCATGCTGAGGCTTTTATCCTCTTCCAAATGGCTATACCACCATCGTATAGAATAAGCTATAGTAAGCCAGATTTTTGAATCTTATCTTTTAAAAATTTACCATTTCAATAAAAGGAAATTTTAAGTACAATATTATATACATAATTAACATAAAGTCATACTTATACTTAAGAGAAAAACATTCACTAACAAACACATACAGATACACACATATGCATGCACATGCAAGTGCGCACAGGCCCATATACACGCACATCTACACAATGCCTATGCATGAACATACACATAATGCCATCATCATCACACTGGTGTGACAACCCATTACAGGATCTGGAATGCCTCTAAAAGCCGGTTGGCACAGTCCTGTGAAGCAGCTGTCCCGTCCCGGATATATTGGAGGTCTATTGTATCCACAGACAACCCGTCCAGCCATCTTCCCCTAGATCTTCCCACTCTTCTTGTTCTATGCAGTTCCTCCAAAATTAGCTGTTTGGAAATCATGTGATCATTCATTCCAGATACATGGCCAGCCCAACTCAGCCTTCCAATCTTTATTAACTTGATCACATCCAACTCGTTGTAGAGCTCCTGAAGTTCAGAGGCTTGTATAGATTTATTTTTGTTCTATTGCCCAGAGACCTACAATGTAAAATATTTACATCATGATTAGAGCAGCTTGCAAGAGCTTTTTCAAGGTCATCATAAAATTATTCCTTTCCTTCATCTTCAGAAAGTTTCCTTTGATGAAGGTGTAGCCTTTAAGTATAATTTTACAGATTCAGCGCTAATAGGATAGAAATCAAGCCCTTGCAGACGGCCCCCTTTATCTAACTATGAATCCTATTCCCCATGATATGTAACTTACCGTGACAGCTATAGTAGAGGATGTGGTACTCCTTTTCCATTGAACCAGTCCAAATCCATCGGACTTCCTGTACTGCTGCTAGTCAATTCTGTAATGGTCCAGTTGTATAAAAGGAGTGCTCGAATTTCTCCAATTCTCTGTAGGAATAAAATATTTCAGTATGCAATACATTAATCATCATGTCGGTTCAAGGATCGTTTCTGTTGAGACAATTTGGCTGATATACTTTTTTAAGGTTTTATAATCTATAAAGAAGTGGGTTAATCAGCCCATGTTCTCCCAGAACCCTCTGACATGTTCCTCCATCGGTGGCTACCTAGGGAAGGTTACCTCAGGGTATGTAATGTATATGCCCTTTGTCTATAAGTGTGGGGAGTGTGTAGTGTATTGTATTTGGTGCAATGAATGTTAGAGCTATAGTTCGTTAAGTGATTGTTCCAACATGGAGAGCCTGAGGCTGATTTCAGTCTGACGACCGGGTGGTTGATTCCCCAATTCCCTACGTCTATATACACAGAATGACTTGTTCTAAAATAAACTCTCTCACCATTTCATATCTGCAGTTAACAATTGTTTTTATTTATGAATAAAAATTTTCATCGTTTGGGGCACTTAGAATGTTATTATTTCCATTAAATTTAGTGATTGTTATCCTAAAAATGAATACCAAATTCGTTTAATATTGGGCTAACTAATAATAATGGATTAATACATTATGGATTAATAATGGAAGATTTTGTCTGGTGCTCCTGCTCCATATTGAGCAGTTTCTCATTTCATCATTCCATGTCTGGTAATTTAGAAATGACCTTAATGAATATATATAATTTACATATTATTTTTTATTCAATTTTATGAATAAATAAAATTTTCTTAAGTCTGCTGGCAAAAACATTACATACTTCCAAATACTGAGCCAAAATTCTTCATTGGATCTGATAGTATAGGCTTTTAGGTTTCTATTGACAGCAGTAATTAATATTGAAGCACTTCACTGTGCTAAGCAGAAAGGGATTCTAAATTAGGTAGAAACTTTTTTTTTTATTGATGAGTTTTTAATTAGCATTTTCATTTGAGCCTAACAGTTTTTTTTTAAAGATGCAGTAAAGTTCACCCAAACTATTTTTGATAATATTTTTGTTTATTATTATAATTATCATTATATAATTTATTTATTTCAAAATGATTCTACAGGTAATGAAAGAATACTTAAATAATAAAAAAGCAACGGCTGATGTATTTGATAAGGAAGGTTGGTTTCACACAGGAGATATTGGATACTATGACAATGATAAGCACTTTTATATAACTGACAGACTCAAGGAATTGATCAAAGTCAAAGGATTCCAGGTAAAGTGTCTTAAAATAAATTTATAGTTTTCAATAAATTATTATCTATACAACTTACTTTACCAACCACTGTATCAAAGGATGTCATTTTAATATTGTTTGTTTAAGTACTAAAGCTTTAACATTATTTATTTTTCTACTACCCATATCTTGTCTGACTTATATTTCCTGAGTGGTGGTCCAAGTACCAGCTTAGTATCAAGAATCAGTATAAACAATATGACTCCCCTTTTCAATCTTTAGGGTCACTTTTCACTTCGGCAACCAATAGTAATTGAATTACTTGTGGTCTAGCCCTATGCTGCAGTTGCCAAAACATTTTACATTAAGAGCAATAAATAAGAGCAAAGTTGCTAAGCTCTTGCAGCCGTTGAGTACCTTAGTTTAATTCTGAAATAAACAACCCATAAAAATACCGTTTTTATACTGACGCAATCAGTAGCAACCGATTCATTTGCAGTTTAGCCACATTCTGCAATTGCCCAGACCTTTAAGATTGGAAGGAAAACCATAAAGACCATGTAGCTATTACAAAAGTCAGTTTTCTTGTACAGCAAGCTACTCATTATCAATGGGTGCAGTTAAAAAACCACATGTAGTTTGTTAATAAGTGTTTCAGTGAAGATCTAGTCAAATCAGCCAAACAGAAGAAAAAGATTCCGAAGGTTTAAAACTTGACACTGATACTTCAATTCAAGTGTCCTGTATAACATACTAGAAGTTCTTAATGATGGAGTTCAAGCTAAAAGGGATAGGGTTCATAAAGGACATTTTTTAAGATTTTTCCTAAATATCATCTTTGGAAAAACTGATGTGTATAATGTGTAATAATAAGATTACATGGATATTCAGTTTAATGTCTATCTGTTTGCTCCATCAAGTCAATTGATAGTGTGTGAGCAAAACCATGACTTGTCTAGCCAAATGGTGTATGGTGAAACCATGGTCCAAACGTTTCTTAGCTTGTCACCGAACACCTAGCAAATCAATTTTTGGCTAAGTTGTGTAACATTGTGTTATTTTTTTTTTTTATTTTTTTTTTTTGTGGTGATACATTTAGTTGTTTTTATAATTATATTTTTATTTTAGGTATTTAAAACAACACTTTTATAGTTATTATTAAGTAATATTCAGAACAAAATTATTAGTGCTGTGAACATTAGACACCACAAAAAAATCTAATATCATCACTTAATTGTACATTTTAAAAATTTAATCGCAGCCATTGATGCCATTGATTAGAAGCCTATATTTTTACACAATCCTCTCAGATTTTAATTTTTATACCGAGGAGAGTCCACAGAGAAAGGTTTCAATCTAAGTTAGTTCATTAAATTCTTGGACGGAAGGTCAAAAATAAATTTAAGATTGTTCAGGGAAGAGATTTTTTGAAAAACAAAATTTTTTTTTTTATTATTGAAATTTAAAACTGTATTAAATGATAAATACAACAAGTAAATATGAAATAAGTAACATGACATGTACAACATGAAGAGAAACTACCCATTGGTAGCACTCCAATTATATTTCTATATTAGAAGGTCCCGAGGCCATCTTCTTTTCAGATGCCTCGGAGGGTTATCAGGAATAGAAGAGCAGGCAAGCTTGGAAACAAGAGGGTTCAGAAGTTTATTATGGAAGAATAGGTATCTGGATTGAGCTAAATCGAAAACATATAGTACATTAAGATCATTATGGATGATTTTATTTGTGACAAAGTAGGGAGCATTGGGGATTTTTTGAAGGATTTTGGATTGTAGGGATTGGATACGAGAGGAATTTGATGGTTTAGTAGAGCCCCAAAGCTCGAACCCTTAAGTCGAGATAGGCCTTATTGTAGTAATATATATGAGTCTTTTGTAAATAGTTGGAAGTTTAGAGGGTTTGTATAGTAAGTGCTGCAGTAGTCAAAAATGTCGGATGGTTTCTAGTTGTTTCAGTCTGGTCTGGGCATAAAACAAAATGGTAAAATCAAATTTCTTTTTGCCACCAATATAATGAAGAATCAATAGTGTGGCAGTTCTTCCTCCTTTTGGAGCATTGTGCACTTCCCAGTTAGCATGATTGATCTTAGAGAACAATTGAACTATGGATATGTCATAGCAAAATATAACCAAGACACCACTGTTCATTCTACAGTTTTTATTGTTGACTTTATAAAAAAAAAATAATTAATGAGTAAATACAAATAATAACACTATTGTATTTTAAGCACTTCTGTAGGCTGGGAAAGAAAATTAAATCGTTATTAATATGACTCTAAATTAAATATTTCAGGTAGCCCCAGCAGAATTAGAAGCTCTCCTTAGATCACATCCTGATGTGGAAGATGCTGGTGTTATAGGTGTTCCAGATCCAAGAAAAGGTGAATCGCCCATCGCTTTTGTTAAGCGCATAAAAAATTCCAAAGTAACACAGGAAGACCTTAAGGCTTTCCTAGCACCAAAAATTGCTAATTTCAAACAAATCGATACAGTTGTGTTTGTTGAATCTATTCCAAAAAGTGCTTCAGGAAAAATCTTGAGAAAAGATTTAAAAGAGAATTATTTAAAAAAGATTGATTTAGAAGGATTTTTGGAAACAAAAAAACCTAAAAACAGTCATCCGAATAATCCTAATGAACGAAACTAAAGAAAATTAAACCCTGAACTTTTTGTTTTTAAGGAACAAGTGAACGGATGGGATTATTGATGAGGTATTGGGTAAATAAGATTTTTTTATTTATTTTTTATAAAATTGTTGTAATTCAATTTTCTATAGTACCAAGTATTAGAAATACATTTATAGGTTTTTTTGAACCTCTTGTAAAAAATGAGCATCTCAAAAAAGCTACATTTTTCACTGTTCTAACAGTTAATTTCTAAGAATTTATCATCCCTAGACAAAACACAACTTATTTCAGTTCTCAATGAAATTAAGATAAAAACCATGATATTTCAAATTTTCTGCTTAATCCTCCTAATTACAATAACATAATACTTTAAAAAAATTAGTTCTAAGCTAACAAAAATAAAAATTGCATACATTTTCTCAGAAAATTAAATTAAATGAAAAAAAAATTAATTGATTTCAGTTTTTTTTTTTACATTTTTGGAGACAAAATTGAGATGCAAGCTGCATCTATAGTTACAAATAGCATGCTATATTCCATCAAAAATACAAGCCCAAAATAATTTCTTCAACAGCAGAAAATCTCTGTACTCCTACAGTTGAAAAGTCTTGTCTTTCTAATTAATTATTAATGAAGACGATGGCAACTTGACTTCTATTATTTCATAATATTCATTTGATTATCAGTAAAAAATAATGCATTGTAATTTTGTTGAGATTTCGTGAGAATTTACCCTAATTTAGAACAAAAGAATTCTTAAAAAAATATTTACGCAATTTCTCCTCTTGTCATTAAACCCATTATCGTTTCATCTTACAATAATAAATAATTTAAAAATCATGAATTAAATAAATAAATTCATTTAAATTATTTTTAAGAAAGAAATGTTATTTTAAGAAATTTGTTAACATTAACTAGTTTTGTGAAGAACCTTTCATTGCCACCAATGTTCTCACTGTTCATTGTTTTTTGGCTATAGAATATTTATATAGCTATTCTCTGCCTTCTTGTTCATAAAAATCTTCCATGAAGGAGCATATCTTTCAATCAGGGGCATTGCATGAATTATAGTATTCAGGAGGGTTAATGCACCTGGCCACTTTTCCCACCCATTCCTTAGATTTCCCATTAGCTAAGAGCCCTTTTTACCATTCTTGAAAAGTGGGAGAGAAATATAAATGTTGAAGCTCAGATAATTTTTTAATCTCAAGCCAGCTTTTTGTAATTAAAATTATTAAAAACTGATGTTATACTCGTAATTCTGTTTTCCGATATATATTGCTCAATCTAGACTGTCCAAGTCATCCCAACTTTACGACTTCCTGCCTTTAATAATTTTTAGACTCCATCATGCCATCCAAAAAGTAAAAATGTAGTCTATTTGAACTGTTTATAGCCAGAAGGATGTTTTTGATTCATGAATTTAAAATATTTTATATGGAATGGCTTGTTAACCATAGCCTGATTTACATTTCATAGATATTTTTTTGTAGCCAATGCTTTCTACCAAAGTGAAACTTAACTTATAAACTGTTTTATAAATAATGTTTTGTGTATAATATAGAAATATTGAAAATTGTATTAATAAATGCGTTTAGCTATATGTATATATATTTAGCTATAAATGTGTTAATCATGTATAAATATTCTCAGTTTTATTGCAAAAAGTCACTAAGTATGCTTTTGATGAAACTAAACTTTGAAGTACGTATTTTTGAATTTTTATTATATTTAATGATAAGAAAATTTATAAAGTCCATAAAATTAATATAAACTCTATTAAATGTGGAAAATAGTACACTAAGTAAACAAGTCTTGATTTCATAGAGGAAAAAATTATCAAGTATCTATTTATTGATTTAATATTTTAAAATGCTACTTAATGACTTCTCTCAATAAACTGATGATATATATTCTTCTCATGCCATGTACATCATTTATACAACCATGGGACCTGTTAAAAAATATATATTGTGATATAATTTTATATATTAAAATTTTTAATATTATAAAACATTATTTTATCCTCTATAATCCCCAGCTGTGATTTAATCTGATCCAAGATCTGAGGCAAAATTTGGTGACATATTTGAATAGAATTTTCAGTCACACAGACATAAGTATTTATCTTCAGTATTCGAGTTGTAGAAATCTGCCAGCTTAAAACCATGACCCTATGCTTTGATTTCTGTTTCTTGTGCTTAAAAATTGTAAGTCGTTTAAGTTAATTGTGCCTAGCTGCATCTACAGGTTTATCTTTCCACTCATGAGATGAAATTTTTCAGTTATGATTTTTAATTCATTAATATCAATCATGTTAATGACGACATTTTCAATACAAACTCTGATAAGATTAAAAACTATCTGCATCTCCTGAATTTTCTTTTTTGGAGAAATTTATGGGTTAATGTATGTATATGACATGCTATCTTCTAAGATTGCAGCGTAAGATAAAAAAAGAAATAAAAATCAACTGAATTTTGAAATCGTCTACATGAACAACCCTTCCAAATTTCACCAAGCACGTTTTTTTGGTGTCTGATGGGAATAAATCATGTTTACATAGTGCACTATTGAATGTAAAAACATCAATTTTTAATTTCATTGCTGATGACTGCCATCTTTCCTAGTTTAGAAGACATTTTCTAATAATCTTCAAACAATGAAGTTTTTCAATTTTTGAACTGTCTTTCGGTAGACATCATTCTGAAAAGTTATGGAGAAAACCACTATATACTTTACTACTGGGAGACAGAACTGAAAATATTGTTTAAGCCTAATTAATGCAAATTTCTATTTAAATAGTTATAAATATGGAATTTTGTAAAACAAAATCTCAATATAAAGCCATTAAACTGAAGATAATTTATAATGATTGATATTTTATTTTTCCTTCATTAATTATTTAATTTTTGGACTATTTAATGAGTAAAATTTTTTTTTTTTTTCTGTTATTCAGTTTATCAGATGTACTTGGTTCTCTACTCACCAGGTGAATAGAACAGCCATGTATAATCCAAATTTAAGAGTTGAGAACTCTGTTTATAGCTAGTAAATTATAATATCATAAAATAAAACTAAAATTATAAATATTAATTTATTGATGAATTATGAGGACCAACAAAGAAATAATATTTCAATTTTATTAATACAATCAATTAAAAAATTTGATAAATTTATTTTCTCAATACGTAACAATAATAAATTGGGTATAAAAAAAATAATTCATAAATAACAGTAACAGAGTACTTAGATCACTGGTCTATTAAACTGATTTATCATTAATAGTCTATTTATATAACACAAATTAAAACATAACACACTAAAATAATTAATTGTTCTTGTAACAAAGTAATGATGTATTGTAATTATAAAATTACAATAAAATTAACTTTTTTAGAAAAAGAAAAAACATCAAATGAAACAATAATTGGATCAGATTTTGAATGATGAAAAATCTTTTAAGAGAACCAAATACTGCTAATTGTGGTAAAACATTACCTGAGAATAAATAAATCATAATCATAAACTAAATTTACAATGTTTTAACTCAATTAAGTTACATACAGCTTTATATTCTTATATGTACGACTAGATCACAGAACTAACAGTATAATGAAATGAATGAATAAAAAATATTGTTCATAATGCTTTAAATTAATCCATGAAAATTGTTATTTAATATTTGAGTATTAAGTACGCAGGTTTGTTTTGTCATTTATCGAGATAAGATGGTCAAGTTCAACAAATAAAAACACACTATCATTCACAAATCTGTAAACATCTGACCGAGGAAATGAAAACATTATTTACTCAAACAGTTCCATTATTATTTATTATAGCTTTTTGAGTCATATCATAACTTTTTTCTTTGCATACCTATATATGAAATATATAGAAAGGAGAAGTATTGTATTTGGAATATAGCTTTGTATAAAACATTTTAAAAATTAAATTAAATGGCAGTAATAATTTTTAATATTTTGGATTAATTTTAATTTCTTAAAAATGTTATGAGGAAATGAAGCATTTAAATTGCAAATTGTCATGAATTATATTAATTTCAACTAGCCTGTTATGTACAAGTGACGATTTAAAAAAAAGAAATATATATATATATATATATATATATATATATATATATATATATATATATATATATATATATATATATAAATCTTTCTCCAAGGGAATATAAAATAGATTATTGTGAGAGGCAGTACCTCAGAAAGGCCACTAATGATTGCTTGATAATGATATCATTATCAGAAAAAAAAATCGATAACTCATAAATAAAATATTTCATAGAGAAAAACAATATTTAAATTATGAAAATTTTCAACTTCTCACATATCTTGGCATCAGGTCAAAAAAGAAAAACCGAAGAAGACATTAAGTGAAACATTTCCAAAAAGAACATAATCTGTAAAATATCTAATACATTGTACACACTTTAACAATAATATTTTATTTTTTATTTGCATCTAACTTTATTCCTAATTTAGAATTACAAAAATAGATTCTTTCTTTGTCACCAATTATGATTACAACTTTTTAAATACTAGCAAATAACAAAAATAATAAAATCAAACAGTAAAACAATGATGGGCTTTGTATTATAACAAAAATACAAATAACACATACAAATCCTAAAAATTTGTTCTGGCAATAAATTATCATCTATGTTTTAAAAATAAATATTAATACTTAAAAAAAAATCCAAAATCCGAATCGGTTTAGACCAGTTGAAATGTTTGATGTTTTACCAATTCTTTGAAAACTCCATTATCAATCGATATCAATTTTTCATAATTCCCAAGTTCAACAATTACACCTTGATCTAAAACTGCAATTTGATCTGTAAAATGAAGAACATATAAATATGTATTGAAACTGTTAAATTTAAAATTAATATAGTTTTTCAAGAGTAATTCTCTCATTTTAATATTTTTGTACCATTTTAAAATAAAACGACATGCATTATGGTTCCTTTGGGTTGTCATAAAGAAAGAAAATCTGGTGTGCCCTTGTCATACAACTTTCACTTACTGCTCAACTTTGAATTATTTCCTGGCCATGTTGGGCTATTATAAAATTTTTGAATTCCATTTTTAACCGAGCTAAAGCTAAAAATTTAAAATCCACCTAATCAAGCCAATGTCATTGTTTAAAATACTATTTCATTATACTTGTGTGAAAGAAGAAGCGAATTATAAAAATATTTCATGGATATGTTTATAACCTCAAATATATTTACTATAGAGTATTAACTCTTGATAAGATATTATATTCAAATAATTAGGGATCTATCGGCCGTTTATTCCAAAAAATCATCAAGTTAACTTAAAAAAAAATTAAATTAGTGAATAATTTGATGAATTTTCCCTTTATGAAATCCCAACATTACCCACTTACAATTAGTGTGACAACTTTTGACCTATCCATGGCAAGACAATGAAAATCTCGTAATTTTGTTTTAGTAAACTTAAAAACGGAAAATAACAGATTAATAACTAATAGTCCTACGATCGATAATCATTTATAGGTTAAATATTCAGATATACTTTTAAACCTCTGTAGGCATATATGAGCCTTTCAATTGACAGGATGACTAACTTCAATTTCAACATTCTTTATTATTAATTTTAGTGATGTTTTTAGTGGTAAAATGTATACCTTTATTCACAGTTCTATATTTCAACACTGCAATCACCTACTCCGGAATCAACTTACTCACTGCCTGTATAGATAACTTTTTCAACTAGAAATATCACTAAAATGACAATACTAAAACATGTTGAAATTAGAGTTAGTCATTCTCTCATCTGGAAGGCTCAGAGACTGAATTTGTGTGGTTTATAAAAGTAAATGGAGTGACCAGATTTTTATTGCCTACCGTCGATATTATAAATAGACTTTTTGTAATTATAATGGTCGTAATGATTTGTCATCTGTAAGCTTTAAGCTTTAGCTCCGTTTAAAATGCACTTCAAACATTTTATATAGACCAGTATTGCCAGAAAATAATTTTTATTCCAAGTAGAGCTGTAAGTAAAAATGTTGCGCGCACCAGATTTTTTTTCATGTCATAACTTTTATTCTTTTATCATGACTTTTTGAAAAAATTATAATTGAGAATGTAAATATAAACTATAAATAAAAATTATACTGTGAAAATATAAAGTGCATTGAATTGTCATAATTTTTATTTATTGCTGCCACTTTCACTAACATCAGCGACTATAACTATTAACATTTAAAAAAAAAATTGTTAGAAAACAATTTTCTTTTCTTTTCATAAAATGTTGTAGACATTCTGTTTTTATAAAAGATGTGGGTTATTATTTTTTTTTATTGTCGAGAAAATTTTTCAGAAATAAGAAAAAAACAAATAAATCTTTTTTCACTATCACATCAATTAGATGAATAATGAAGAGAAGAATAGTTGGGGTGCTCAGTCAAAAAGGAAGGCAAAAAATAAATTATAATATTATAATATTAAAAAATAAAAAATAAATATTATAATTTATTTTTTGCCTTCCTTTTTGACTGAGCACCCCAACTATTCTTCTCTTCATTATCCACGACAGTCAACCAATTAACAATTATGAATTAGATGACTTCATTCTAAAACTAGAATTTACCATTATGTTATAAAAAATTATGAAATTCAAAAATTAGATTTATGTCAAATAAGCTAGTTTTATTTAATGGCCAATAATTAATTGAGTAATGAAAAAAAAAAAGCAATAATGATGTTTAAAGAAAATTGTAATGCAGCATTTGAAAAAAAAAAAAAATCAACCAACAAATAAACTAAGGGTCGAATGGTTCAAGGTGATAAATATCATTCAGTGGGTCTGAGAGAACTGAATTTAAATTATATTTACTCACAATAGTCCAACCTGTATCACTAATTACTTGGCACCTTTACCAATTCGGTCCAGAGTCAACTGAATTTGTGACTGGAAGGAAGAAATATTAAAAGTATATCACTTCACACCTTAGTCCTTAGCAATAATTATCCCTCCTCCCTTCCAATGTTACTCATCACCTTTATCCAACAGACTCTTCAATTACAAATCTTATTCAAATTATGAACTTTTTAGCCAAACTATACCAAATATTTACTTGGTGAGGATTTATTTATTGGTGTTTAGAAATGTTAAAATATAAAACAATAATAGATATATAAATATTTAACAATCAGATCGTAACATTACCTGAATTTTTTATTGTAGAAAGTCTATGAGCAATAGTTAATACAGTTCTCCCTTTCAGAATACGTTCCAAAGCTTCTTGAACCAAATGTTCACTCTCTGCATCCAAGGCACTTTAAACAAATATAACTATAGTAAAAATAATTTTAATAACATTTTTTTTTCATAATTTTCATGTTAATATTTTACTGAGATTCGACAAAAAAAATCTGACATTAATTGTTACTTTAACTCTAGAATAATCATTGATTATTATATAGAAGTAAACAAAAAAAAATGGATCATTTTAGTTCATAGATAGTTAAAAATTCACAGATTCAGTTTATAAAGAATTGATCTGGCTCATATTTAATAAATGAAATACATAAATAAGAAGAATTAGCTAAGAAATATTTATCTGATACTCATATATAACAACCATTAATCAAATGGCCACTTGTAAGGATTACAGTAGGATAAAAAAAGTCATAAATACAGTCAAACCTCAGTAATCCAACCTTCAGTAGTCCAAACCCTCATAATCCGAAATTGTGAAAACTGTGGGAAAGAAGGGAGGATAGATTTTTTTTTTTTTCAAAAACAGAAAATAAAAGACATATTGAGAGTAAAAGACAAATGCCTAACAAAGGACGCCCATTCACCTGACAAATTTCTGAGTATTTCCTTAGCTCATGTATAAACCCACCCTCATTTTTCCTATAGTTATGAAGGCAAATCAAATATAAACAGGATTTTATTTATTTTTCCACATAATTTCCTACTAACCAAGCATTATCAGTACTATTTTACAATGTGGTAGAGTACAAATTGATTAATTGAATTCAATAAAAACTAAATAAGTGAAAGTCTCAAAGCACTAACACTTTTAAAAAAAGAAGTGAACATTGATAAAATAAAATTTAAGTTTTAAAAGGTTATCTTCTATTAAACGTTAAGACATCAGAGAAAAATAGATAACAAGTTGATAATAGTCCATTGAGAATAACTCATCCGTTGTTTTCCCCTACTATTACAATCAGAAAATCACATTACTTCAATTTATTTATTTGTATATCGTCCCTACCACTAAGAATCATTTGTTTGCTTCAACTTAATTTTTGCTTATTTCTGAAAATTATATTCTAAACTTTAATCATTTATGAGGAATACAACTGAAACATTTATCATGAATAAATGCTAAATTTTTAGTCATCAGATGTTTGAAGCAAATAATAAAATTAATTTCCAATTAGTCATTTTCAACCTCTGTAATCAAAATTTTACAGTAATTTGAATACCCCATCCCAATAGTAATTAGTAAGAGCTACTGAGTTTACAGAGTATTAAAAAATAATAAAAAAATAAAATAATATACCTTGTTGCTTCATCCAAGAGTAAAACCTTCGGGTCCTACAAAAAGAATTTTTTTTCTAAATAACATTGCTTTACATAACACATTGAGAATAATGAAAAAAAAAATGTAAGTATAAATAAAGAAAAGCAAATTTTAATACATTAATATAATTTAATATATGTAATAACTGGTGTTCAAACGTAGCAAAAAATGAAGTTTTGCACTTGAAGGAGTTTAAGGAACTCCAAAACAAGGTAACATGCATGATGAAGGATTTATTAGTCATATGAGAAGGAATTAACAGATTTGCGGGGTGGAATCTCATAATTAAAAAGTGCAAACCAACTTAGGAGACTTTGAAGATGAACCTAAAGAAACAGTTCACTAGTCTTTTCAGTCTTATTTCATGTCCAACAGACAGTCCACTGTACATAAGGCAGCTTTCGTGTAATAATAATTATATATTCAGTCTCCCCATGTAAACTAATAAGACGATGGGAGATCCAGTTTGACATATTTGTTCTTCACTAAATCAAATGAAGAAGAGTGGGAACATGGAAATTGTCAATAAAGTAAACAATAAGACTTGAAAATGTTTTTTATAATTATAAAATAAACAAATGGTGATCAAATGGGCTTGTTCTTATGAACAAAATTGAAAATAAAGCTTCATTTCCAAATTATAATTTTGATTATTAAACAAATATTGCAAGCAGAAAAATTAACTACTTAACTAAATAGCAAAAACAAAAAACATTGTGCTAGCTAAACTGTAATAAGAATAATCTACAGTACAGGATGTTTCCGAAGAAAATGTCAGTAATTAAGGGGAATATTTTCTATATAAAATCTTGCTAAGCAGAGCCAAATGCACAATGATATCACAATCTGTTGTCAAGATACAATATTTTAGAGTATTTTCCCAGAAAATGAGGCTATGATCGGCGAGTTTGTAAAAACATTGCTCACCTGCTTTAACATTCTTCAGTCTAGCAGCACCAGTTCAAATTGAGGTAAAGGGTAAGCGAAAAAAATAATTTTTCCAGAAAAGTCCAAATTTCTCTAATGATACTTAAAATTTCTCAAGTTTTGTCAAAATTTCAGAAATCTATGATGAATTTTCAAGAAGATAGCAACCAATTTGTAAGAAAATACGATTTTTTCAGCTTTATCATAGCAGCCTAAGTAAACAAATGGTTATGAATAAGTTTTAGCAATATATATCTGATAGAGTCTCGTGCAAAGAAGTACTAACTTATAACCTCTTGGATTTTAAAAAAGTTGCTTCATTCCAACAGCTTTCTACCAGTTAACTCAACATTTTAAAACTATTCTTATTTTTACCATTGAGCTCAGTAAGTTCGAAATGTAAAGTACCTATAACAATATGAGGATATCTAGTATTTTTGGTCAAGAATCTATGGACAAGAGTTCAATTTTAAGATCCCCAACCACTTTTTTTCTGAATTGCCTTGTATTGTTTCACAGATGAAATGATACATTATACTATTATGACACAACCTATACCTGCTGATTTGTTTTGTTATAATGTTATAGAACGAAAGTAAAATTAAATTATTAAATAATAAATTGTATAGTTCACTATCATATCTTAATTATCAACAAACTAAGTTTCAATGGATAGCATGAACTTCCTGAATATTTATTACATAAGAAATAAGTCTTACATACCTTTATTAGTGCTCGAGCTATAGCAATTCTTTGCTTTTGACCACCAGAAAGCATAATACCCCGCTCGCCAACAATGGTATCTAATCCCTGTGGTAGATTTTGCACAAAATCATAAGCATTTGCTTCTTTAAGAACTTTGTCTATATCATGTGAACTGATAATAGCGTTCCTGTCAGCTCCATATAAAATATTCTCTCTAACAGTACCAGAAAACAGCACAGGCTCCTAATATATGTCATTTATCAATAATCATGAATGAAATCTACATATCAAAAACACGATATTAAAAAAACAAATTATAATAATTAAAGGAAGTGTTCAGAATATATTGTTACACAATTGTATGTTATAATGGATGTAAATATTTAAAATTTAACAAGGTAGTAGTAATTACAACAATAAATTTCATTTGGACTATGGTCTGATTCCAAAATAAGAATAAATTTCAGTTTTGAGTTTTTTAAGTTTGTAATGGTTTTTGTTGTATAGGAAGTGATAACTAAAACGTGTTTATATTAAGCAAGTCCCAAATACGGCATTATAAATGAGGAAATTTTTTTAAATTTATCTTTCCTAAAACCAACTGAACATGGCTTTTGACCGGGTATATTATGCTAAGTTTCTTTCTTTGTGAAATCATGAATTATTCCTGAATTTTTCATGATTACATCAGCCTCTTAGTGGGCTAATTATTCCCTCAATTCAGGAAAATATTTTTGTTTAATAACCTTTAAGTCCATGTAAATTATTTTGAGAACTGTAATAGAATAAGAAGAGTTTGGACTTCCGTTTTGTAAATTGTATTGAAATTCGTAAAGTCATTGAGACTTATCTAAACTTAATTCACATGGACTCAAAGCTTCTCAAACATAGATTTTTTAAATAAAAGCACGGAATCTGTAGTCCGATAATAAAAAATAAAATAATCCATGATCATCAGAAAAAAAAGAAAGGGCACTTCATATAACTTTAACAAAATCAAATTCTACTTGTTTTTAAAGAACATTTTATGAAAATTGCGATATTACAATTGGGAATTACTTAACATAAATAACTTTTTGATTATCACTTTCTATTCAATGAAAGTTGTGCCAACCTTAAAAAAAAACTATTCAACATAGCCCAAATGAAATACTTTTTTGCAATTAAGATCTAATATTATCTTCGTTAGTAATATACAACATTAAATTAAATCTTGTAGTTTAGAAATTGATGTATTACTTATTCAGGATTAAATGCTTTAAAATGGGTCTAATTATAAGTTAAATGAAATAAAGAATAATAATAAATTTGGTCCATCCAATGAGAAAGAATCTCATCATTTCAGAAAAGAGGAATATTTCAGGGTGATGCGAAATGGTTCTGTCTAGCAATCGATGCTCTGAGCTTAATTTTAAATCAATCTCGAAAAGGTTATTTTCTGGATCAGAAAACAATGATTTCTCATTCTTTCTATATGGATGACTTAAAGCTCTATGCAAAGAATGAGAGAGACATGAGTAGGCTTCTTGAGTTAGTTAGGTCATTTACTAAAGATATTAGAACATAGAAATGAGCAAACCTTCAAATACACAGGGGAAAATATAACTTTTCAATAGTTATGTTATCAAGCAGCTTCCGATAACTATCCCCTACAAACATCTTGGCATCAATTCAATAAAAAGGTCAATAAAACTTTTGAAGAGGAATTTAACAAACGGGTCGATATACTACTAAAAACTAATTTAAGGGCAGGAAATTTGGTAAAAGCTTTGAATACTGGGGTAATTCTTACAGTTACATATTCTATTTTAGTAATAAAACTGTGCAAAATGGATTTGGAAAAGATAGACCACTTCTTAATTATACAAATGATAAAATCAAGGCAATGTCACCCAAATTCTTCACTACCAAGGCTGTATTTGCCTGGAAAACATGGATGGTAGGGGACTTATTAGTTTACTAGAAAACATGGTAGTAGGGTTGGACTTATAAAAAACAAGTTTTTTAGATCGCAGAAAATCGAGATGACGATGTAAGCAAAAGTAAAGCTCAGGTCTAGTATTTGGCTGATGATATGATATGTAAATTTACTTTAAAATTAAATTAAGTATATTTTTTTGCTTTGGTTTATTATTTTAAGTAAATATAACACCAAGTGTGTTGTGAAACAAGTTCTGTGTAGATATTTGCAATAGAATGTATTAAATATATTGAAATGTAAATTTAAATGGAAACTAGATTTTCTATAATTGGATTTGTAACAATTAAACTAAACAATGCAACAAACAGTATTTAAATATATGATGATTTTAAATAATCAATAGTCATAACAAAAATAATTGTTTTGTTTTCAAAATTTTATGATATTGTTAAGGAATAACGAATACAAAAATAATAACTTTTCTTTGTTTAAAGATTTCTATTTTTTTAAGTTTAAAAAAATGATAAGAACTCAATTGAATGTATATCAAATTAGTTAGATAAGAATGAAATATTGTTCTTATGTAATATATGAAAATATTTTTCTAAATTATCAAGTCAACATGATATCAAGGGAGCCAAAGCACTTATAACTACGGCAACTGAACATTTAATAGACTCTGTTCCTTTTATAAATAGAAATAAATTAATTGAATTCTGCGTTTTTAGTTATTGATCCTTTTGTTAGGTAACACAAATTTAATTTTGGTGTATGAAAGAGTCATTTATAATTCAAATTTAAAGAGGATGAAATAGGGAGCATTAGTAAGATTAGACAAACTACATTAACTGGCTTACTATTTACCTGTGATACAGTACCAATACGGTTTCTAAGCCATAAAGGGCTATATTCACTAATTCGAATACCATCAACAGTAATATCCCCACCTTTAGGGTTATACAAGCCTAAAAGTAATAAGCCAATTGTTGATTTGCCTGATCCAGATCTTCCAACAACAGAAGTAATAGATCCTGCAGGAATATACAAAGTTAAGTCATTAAGCACTGGAGTATCAGGTCTTGTGGGATAGGAAAATCTTACTCCTTTAAATAATATTTCTCCTCTAATGTCTTTCTCAGGTTCAATGCCTCCTGAAAATAAAAGAATACATTACATCATTAAGTAAAAATAAATGCATATATTTATAATTAGTAAAATACATTACTATTTAGAGCTGAAAATAATAGCAACTAATGAGCATTTTTATGAATTGAAACCATTTAGGTTTTCAACTGAGTTCATGAACCACGTATTATTATTTATCAGATACCATTATTATTTAGGCAAATAAATATTTCACCTCTCCATCTGATTTCTGGATTTCTTTCAATTATTTCCCATAACCTAGAAGAAGCGCCAAGACCCCGGTTTAGTTCTGAATAAAAACTGGACAATCCTCCAAGGGATACTCCAATATAAGCTGCATACAGGAGAAAAGCAGACAAATCACCTATTGACAGTGACTGTGAAGAAACCATCATTCCACCAGCATACAGAACAATGAGAGCAATAAGATTGCCACTCAATCCAGCCTGGAAATGTATTGAAATATTTATGTATAGAAGATATCTTAACTATATTAAAAATTCAAGAATAAGTCAAATGAACATAAAACTAAATGTATAGCAACAATTAATAATAATACCATTCCAAAAAATACACCTCTAGCTAATGATTCCGTCATTGCTAAAGACAAAACTCTTTCCATTTTCTGTTTATAAGCATTCATCTCTACAGCTTCTTTACTAAAAGATTTGACTGTTCTTATATTGGCAATTCTTTCTTCTGCAACTTGTGTGGCATCAGCTAGGGAATCCTAAAAAATAGATTTAGAATAATTATAAATACCTTTTAAACTTGTATAAAGTAAATGGCATTCTATTAAAAAAATATATATATACAAGTACCTGAACTTTAGTTGTAAGCTTTTTAACAAACCGTCCATAAACAATGGCCATTCCAGCAACTGGTGGTACAACACAAAGGCTAACTAATGCTAATGATGGTGACATGTAGAACTAGAAAGAAAATATGGAAATAAAATAAATATTAAATAAAAAAAAGTACTGGCAATCAAAAATATTTTAATTAAAGGCTTACCATCATGAACATTCCCACAGAAACCATAATGGTAGACCGAAGACCGTCAGAGACATTAGTTGTAAGGGTACTACTCACAAGTGAGGTGTCTGCTGATAGCCTGTTAATCAATTCTCCAGTTTTGGCCCTGTCAAAGTAAGCTACTTCTTGCTTCAGAATAGAATTGAAAACTTTTTCTCTAAGAGTTTTGGTAATACGTTGAGCTATGACAAAGCATACATTCATAAACTAATTTAATACAACTAAAATATATGTTATGATTTCAAATGTGTGGATACCTGAAATATTCATGAGATAAACGCGACCAAAATTACACAATCCACCAACTATGAACACTGCTAATAAAGCAGCACAAATAATATTAAGATTCTCTCGCATATGGCCAGTATCAGCATCATATATTATGTCAATAACTTTCCCCAAAGCAATAGGTACACTCATTGTGACAGTTGAAGAAACCAAGAGAAGTAAAACACCTCCTACAATTCTGAATTGATTCATAACTCTAGAAATATAAAGTGTAAATGCATAATTTAGGAAACTATTAAATAAAAAAATATCATTACTTACCTGCGATTCTCCACTTCTCCGGCTTCGCAAGTTGTATAACTTTACCAAATTCACCACCTGACATAAGTCTAAATCTTGTCTTCTTCTGTACTTCAGATACTTTTTTAAAAGTAGGTTCTATGGTTTTTGTGCTATATAAATATTTAGGCCTGAAATTCAAAAGTCCAAATCTTTGATTGCATTTCACATGTTTTAAAAGAGTATTTGGAATACTCAAAGTCACATGTTTGTTGTTTGTGGTATACAGAAACTGTTGGCATATCAACAAAGGTTGTCTATGGCTGTAATGAGCCAAATATTGATTGCTTCTGTAAAAAATCAATGGCTTTAAACTTGGACAGTATCCAGATCTCATGTTGTTTCCTAATATTTTTACAACAGATAACATATTCAGATAAAACTCTAATCATTCCTTGTGTAGTAGAAACCGCTAACTTAGCTCATAAACAGGTCTAAGGACGATGTTCATACCAAAACTTTTCAAATATGATTACTAATGGTGACAAGGCAAAGAAGGCACTATGTATTCAAAATCAATTTATCTTACTTTAAATGAGAATTTCAAATCATAACCAAATACTGTTTTAAAACATTATTATAGTCTATACAAATGTTGATTTTTTTTTTCATATCGAGTTTCTCGGAGGTAACCTAACCTACATTATTGATAAGCTATCAACAGCTGTTCCCATGAACAAAAGAGATAAGATAACTTAAACGTGCTTAATTCCACCAGACTATGTTTTAAATTTGCTAAATTTTACTATTGAAACCAGAGCCTTTGAAAAATGTGAATTTTTTTCTAAGCATTTTTTATGTTAAAAGTACTGAAATAACAATAATTGTGTAATAAAAAGAGGAAGAAACAAAAAACTCCGAGATTTGACAGATACAAAATTAAGTTAAAGGCACCAGTACCTGACATGCTTAAGGTAATTTCTTTGCACTTTTAGGTGTAAAAACTTAAAATACAGTTGTTATTTTATTTTTCTTGGATTCGTCTTATAAAACTACTTCTTGCCAAGACACATTTGAAATCCATGAAACATTCACCTCTATTTTTAAAGACTAAATTTAGAAAATAATTTTGTTGTACAGTAGCTTGCAATGTTTAATTTGAGATGTTCCCATCGCTGACAGGAATGAGACCAAGGATGTAAATGCGAAAGAAAGAGTTGAAATTTTATATTCTTCATTTTAAGCTAGCTAATAACAAAAAATTCTTTTTGCAATTATAAAATTAATTTCTCGCGTTTCCCTATTTACATTTATTGATGAATGCTGGACACAGTCAAGAGCTTACTTTTTGCTATAAGAATACCATTATATTGTTAACAATTATTTATATTAATTTTAATTATTAAATGGAATTCAATGAAATGTATACTAAGTAATTTCTATACTGTTCTCTAAATTTCCTCAAAGTTAAGGTCAAATCGAATGGCCCGTTTTCGAACTATAGGGATATCAAATAACATATGTCCTGGTCTAAAAGCGGAAGTTTTTTTTTTTTTTTTTTTTTGGAGTAGCAGATAGAATTTGATAAAATTGATGCCTTTTTCATTTTACGTTTACCAATCCCTAAATTCCCTCCAAATTGGAGCCAAATCGACTTGCGGCTTTAGAGATATAGACGTGTCAAGGAAAACACGTTATCGCATACATAAGACAAAGCAATGGACAGAATTCAATAAAATTAACCCTACATTAATTTTTAACAAATACCTACCATTTATTTAACTTTGAGCCAGATCGAACAAGCAGTTTCTGAAATATTGGCACATCTACAAAACTGCGTTTGCACAAAGCGTAAGCGGGAGTGCTGGTTAGAATTTATATGGGTTAGAATGAGTTAGAATTTATAATAACATCTATATGGGACCATATAGACACCAACCAGCAGAACTCCTGAAAATCTCATGAAAATTGGATAAACGGTAGTAGGTGATATGCCCGTTACATCGATTTGACTACAGACAGGCACCGAGCCAATTTGATCCTTGATGTCTGAAACGTAAAACGCGAGTGAAAATTTTCGATTCTAAGCGCATTTTTTTTTTTTTAGTCTCTTGTACGAGTACAATGCTTCTCTACCTTTGGTAGTGAGGAAGCAGAATTTTTAAATTATATGTTTTTGGTATATTATGAAGCAATAAAAAGTGAATTAATTGGTTAATTTTTTCTCTGATTCAAATAATTGATTAGTGCAAACAATAGTGAATTGGTTTTAATTCATTCCTTTATTAATAAAACATCTCTGTAGAAAGATTAAAAAATAGATATTAATAGCTTGGCAGCAACTCTGTAGGCAGATAAAGAAAATAATGAGAAATAGAACGCATAAGGTTCATCCTATAAATTTAAGAAGAACCGAGGAAGGAACATTTTATTTACAGTTCCAAAATTTGAGGCAGAACGATTGTAGAGTTTTCAATTCAAACTCTACTATTTCATCAACATCGAAGATTGCCAAAGATGGAATTATTACATTCAATCGATTTTTCAACAGTATTTCTTGTGGAAATCACTGTTGAACAATGAACTTCGGCTTCCCGATGACAAACATCTTACGGGAACAGAAGTTCCCAAAGTTCCCTATATTTTCATTGGGGACAAAGCTTTGGCTCTACATAAACATTTTCACTGACCATTTGGTGGAAATCGATAAAAGAATTTTTAACTACCCTCTTTCTAGAGGATGTATATATATATATATATATATATATATATATATATATATATATATATATCGAATTTATATTCGGGATTATGACCAATAAATGATGAATGTTCCATTCCTGTAAATTCAGAAACTTATTTGCGATTTATACATTAAAGCGTTGTAAAGTTTTACATAACTTTGTCTTAAATAGATTGAAAATTTTCAAATTACTTCAGAATGCCAATACAAAATTTTGATGAATTACATGGAAAATTAAAAAAAAAAAATCCTTACAACACCGCAACACCTAGTTTAGGGTTTGCATTCAGCTAATATAGATATTGGCAGTAACGGTTAGGTAAGTCAAAATAAGTTTCTGTATTGAATAAATAAGGTTTATTATAATTTCGATTGTGTTTATTTAAGTACCATCATTTATAATAGTGGTAAATTTGATACAAATAAATTGGAACATCATTTAAAAATTTATTTAAATTACATAAAAAAAGATAACCTACATATATATATTTCGAGCCTATGAAAGAATTTTCCTGTAGTTCAGCTTCTAATTGCGTAACCAGAAACTACTGATCAGTAGGATTTTCAGATCGGATTTGAGATTTAACTGAACTGCATACCAGATTTCTATTTACTGACAATTTTTCCTTTATTTTTTAAAGTCAGAAACCAATTGTAGAGTTTTAAATTCAAACCTTATTACTTCATCAATGTCAAACATTGCCAACGATGGAATTATTACATTGAAAAGGAAGTATGTTTATCTGGCTTTTTATTCAAAGCATAAATTATTTCACGCTCTACGGGGTCTGGTTTTCGTTTTCTATTTTAGGTTTTTGTGAATTTCCAACTTCTGCCTTTCACTAATATTGGTTCTTCAACTTCATATTCAAATTGTTGGAGGTATTGTGCATCTCAAGTTGAAAGAAAGGCTATCCGCTGATGGTCTATGTTATGTGCTTTTCCTTAAAAAATGGAGCAGTTTCCCATATACATTTATTTCGGGCGGGTTCCTCGCACTCCCTGACGATTTTAAGGAATTTATGTAATTCCTTTTACTTCTATGAAATCAATTTCTCACATTGGACCATTTCTTCATAACAGTTTTGTCTGAAACAAATTGTTTGTTAAAATTTAACTAGAAGTATAACTGAAGACATTTAGGGAAGGGTTTGTCACTTGGTTTAAAAATCATAGTCCCGAAGTCTTGCTTTAGCAAGGAAAATAGGATAAAATGGAATTTCAAATTATTATGTGACAGAGAGATCCATTATTGTTTTATTGCGCAAACCGAACAACATTTTTGACAAAATATTTCAAGTATTTGATCTTCAATTCAGTATTTGTTCATACAAAGAAGGTAAAATCGACAGCCACATTGCAAAAACCTAAATAATAATTTAATTAAAAACTGAAGTTTTGAACTGTTCTGTTTAGTGCGAGCTTCAGATACTCAAAAATCAAAATCAAAATGTTATTCAGAACATTGTAGGCTTGTCTCAAGCATATAGTAAAAATTGAATGCAATTGCCTGGTTTATTTAACACATTTTTTGCAACGTCGTTGTTGAAATATATTACCTTTATCTACGAACAAATTTAGTTTTAATTTCATTAGTATTGATTTAAAATATTTGTTAATGAAGTAGAGATGGTTGGCCGTTGATATACTATGAGAAGGAGTTAATTGGGGGTGCGATCAAATAAATACTAAATTAAAATATAGTAATTATTTAATTTTTGCCGACGTTTCGACCCACTTTGCAGGTCGTCTTTTGTTGAAAATAAAAAATAAATATAAATAGATATAAAATAAGAAGAAGTTGTCAGATACAGAAATAAAAAGATGATATCAGAGATATAGTGGCTGACAATTTAGTTAAAATATTAAGTATTATATATGTAGAAGATACAAACAAATTGAAAATAAGTATGAATAAAAATAAAAATAAAAATAAAGGAGAATATAGCATGTAAGTTAAAAGTAAACAGATTGCGATAAAAGATAAGAAATAAGTGTATAACAAACTAATTGAGATTACATTAGATAACTTAGGAATTGCGATAATACATGAGATTACATAGGAATTGCGTATTTGTGTTGTTTGATGCTTGAGTCTTGTTTGAGTCTTTAAGTTGGTTTTTGGTTTCTCCAATATAGGCAGAGTTACAATTGGGGGTAGAGCAAGGAATGCGGTATACGACATTAGAACGATGTTGCGGAAGGATGGGCTCTTTTAGGTTGGAGTAAATATTGACAAGTTTGTTGTAGTTTTTAAAAGCAACTCGAAGGTTGGGAATGGAGGAACGTAAGGATTTTTAAATTTTATCCGAAAGTAAAGGGATGTATGGTAGAGATCTATATAAAGGAATGGGAGGCTGATTTTGAGAACTAGAGAAGGGGATGGAGGATGAGGGGCGGGTTTTGTAGTCAGTAATAAGTTTTTTAATGGTGTTGGAGGGGCACTCCAGGGGTCGAAAATATTTACAGAATTAATTGTTTGTACTATACTAGTATAGTGGTTAAAAAACCATACAATAAAAGGGAGATAGTACAATGCCATAATTATCAAACCTATGGCCTTACAAGAAGCTACTGCCATCACTTACCTCGAAGTGTGAAGTGCGGACAACAGCACAGGTCTGAGGACTGCACCAAGTCTAGGCAAACTCCTGCTGTGTGCGCACTATGCCACCAAAACCACCCTGCAAACTACAAGGGGTGCCAAACGTATAAAATACTGAAATCAAGAACACAGACAACACTCAGACAGAAAGAGACCTCCAGGACTCCCAGACCACCAAGGCAACCCTTTACACGTGTGAACAAAGAGGTGTCTTTTGCTGAAATACTAGGAGAAACTGAACAGACAAATCAACCTCAGGCCCTGCCGCAAACTCATCAACAACCTCATGATCCACCACCCCAATATAATAAAACCCAAAAGTCCAGTCCT